TTTCTTAATCAGTGATAAGCATAGAATATGGCAACATCATATAGTTATTTTGGTACAAATGGTACAAATCTGTGGCTTGCTAGCGTGATGTGCAGCTATCCATTGGAGGTGTCAAAAATTTCATAGCTCTTTGTTGTGATTACTTTCACAGTAACATCAGTTTCCATTGGGCACCAGTTTTCTAATGCAGAATACGAGAAAACATGATGATGTCATGTCCAGGGTGGCCATTTTGTCAGGCAAAAAGCGTCCATATCAACAAGTCAACATTAACATCGTCAACAGTTACCGGCGTACAACATCAACATTGTCAAAGTTATTGACAAATTTTAACTTTTCATAGTAACGTTTTTGATCAACATTCAGTGACTTAAAGTAAGATGATGAAGTAATGTTTAAAAAATGAAATGCAAAACCTATTTCAAAAAAGACAAGTTATCTCATGACAGACACAAGCAACGCAACTGTCAACACAAACGAGCGGCCCCAGTGACTTTTTGCCTACCAGCCTTTGCGCACGTGCAGAAAAGCCGGATGTAAACAAATACAATGTTTTCTCATATTCAGAGGACTTGTTTCTTTTATTAAGTCATTTTAGATTGAATATTACAATGTAAAATGTGCAAATTATGACATAATAATCCACAGATGTCATATATTATAACTACATAGGAGACAAAAGCACAATATGTCTTTAACGCCTCCAGTCTGGCATTACATTATACTCCTAAACCCAATTTAAATGTTTCTTTGTTATACTGTTCCTGCACTATCACTAAATGCTTTTGACGAGATTGCCTATAGAACAGACAACGTACTCATCACATGTAATTTCAAGCAATGCTCTTTCATAATCTCCACCTACTTCTACTGTATGTGCCGAGGGATTGTAGATATGACATAACACCTTCTCCTTCAGCTCAAATAAGACATACCAATCTCTCACTCTAGTCCTGCCTTTGTGTGCCAAGAGCCTCCTTTTATACTTTCTTCACAACAGAGCTGAGACAAGCCTGCCTGCTGCATGCTGGTACAACTTCAGTGCCTCTCTCTCCCCGTCACAAGTAAATTCACTCATATCTCAAGTCTTTGTATCTTAAAAAACGTCATTGGTGATTGGTCAAATTTGGTGACATCACAGAGAGTGAATGATGAAGATGAATGGGCGTAAACAGGAGCGACAGAGAGGGATGTTGGGACAGAAATTTCCGCAGAGGTGTGATGTGTATGGATGACTTTGGGGTTCGGACACAGATGAACAAAATGGATGGACATGTGAAGGTGTGAAAGATTAACCTGGAGAAAGTTCTGGATAAGTGAACTGCAAAGTTATTGGGTTCTGCTCCATGTTTAGAACTGCAGTGAGTTAAAGAGGAATGATGCAATGTTTTAACCATGATTAATGCAGAACTTAAAATGAATAAATCTGTTTGGGATCTGATTAAATGAGTTAAATTCAGTGTTGTGAAGCGGCTGGCTGTCACAAAAACACACTTGCAAGTATGAGAGCTGACAACTGTGTCCCATTTGTGAAACAACTGCACTTTGCGGTTACACAAATTAGGTAGTTTTGTTTTTTCAAATTTACTCAATTATTATTATTATTTTTGTAGGGATGTAACAATAACCAAAATATCGTGATATTGTATCGTCAAAAGTCTCACAATATATCGAATTACAAGTTCCTTTGCTAAAATACATAGTTTTATAGAAGCAACAGCTGATGAACATCAGAAACTACGTATCCCATGATTCATTTCAGTGCAGACAACATGAAGAAATATGTTTTTTACTTGAATTCTCGGGATTATGACGGAAATAATTCACACCAAAATCTTGCCAAGGTATTTTAAAAGCAAAGAAGTGTCCCATCTACAATTATATCAGCCTCTCCAAAATATCACAATAAATATCGTACTGAGAGATGCATATAGTTACATCCCTATTCTTTTTTTTTTTTAATTAATAAAAGTTCCCCAATTTTGCTAGATAACAGGCCTATTGATTTCTGAAATGTATGCCTCTTGTCAGTAGGCTTATCTAAAGTGGACAAGTTTAAACTGCAGACTACAATTAGAACATTTTTAAAACTATAACTTGTATACAATTGATAAAACATACTAGGTGCATTAACATAGCCCTTGCATGAAGTACTTCCAATGTGAAGATAAGTTACAGATTCATAAACTAACAACTGATTCAACAGACTTGGTATTATCAGTGTTAAGTTTCAGCAGAAGTAACTCTTCGCAAACAAATAAATGATGCTTGACTATGCTGGCTTTAGGCTCTGTTTGGCATATTTATTTAAAGGTCCTATATGATGCAAAATTGACTCTTATCAGCTTGTAGCCATGTTAGAATGTTACATCATGAAAAGCATACCTGGAGTTAGTTGTATTTTGTTTCATTCACACATGTTTGAGTAATCCTGTGTTATTAGTCTGTCTACATCTCCAAAAATCAAAATGCTCAGCTCTACCTTGTGATGTCATGAAGTGGTAGTGTAATAGCCCGGATAGCAGCCATAGCGGTCTTAGAGGAAGTGGAGCCAATTTTTAGTGCAGACCCAAAATGCATTTATTCCACAACCCAAAAAAATAAAATAAAAATCTAAACATAGTTATAAAAAGTACAAAAGTTAAAAACAGGCATGGCTGTAACCTGCACATACTGTACACAGCACCTCCTCTTGACACAGGTGAGGCTGGCTCCTTTTATAGGCCATCTCCTTTAATTGGGTGAGCTCATCTCAAACTGCAGGTAAGTACAGATCATTTCAATTTATTGTTAATTTATTGTTAATTCACTAGCAAGGACCACGCCAACATCATATTGCAAAGAAGTTTATTGATACTCTAGGTGGCTCTGTCTCAATCTTCTGCCCCGTAGCTTATGGCTGAAGACGAATAAGATAGGGGGCGGAAGGGTGTGGTCAAGTTAGCCAAGACAAACTGGGATGATGGGAAAGACTGCTACAAATGGGCTTCTGGGAAATTAAGAGGTGTGGTCAAAGTAAGTTTTGGTGTGCCGATGAAGAGGAGAGGGCTGCCGAGGCGTGGCTTACTCCCGAATCTCAGTTAATCATATTAACTACACCTATCAAAAACAGTGCTCAAATCTTCAATTATATCAAAATAGAAAAAATATTTTATTAATTTACAAATACTAAACAGAAAAGAGTTAAAATATCTGTGCACTCCTCCTCCTAACAAAATTGCCTGCCCCGGAACCTTCGTAACCCCAATTCGTCTAAATCTCCAAAGTTCAAAAAACTCTGTTCCACCTTGTGATGTCATGAAGCAGTAGTTTTCATGTTAACAGCTACCTTTTATCTTTTGTTCAGTAGAGATCAGCAATTCTAGGGCTGAATGATTTAAATGATTCTAGTAAAGATGTATGGAGCTTAAAAACACAGTGGAGCACTTCCTGTATGACAAATGTTCAGCCTAAATATGCAGGGTTTGTGTGTTAAAGATGTGTGAATGAAACAAAACACAAGTCCAGGTCTTTTTTTTGATGAGGAAACAGCATTATAACATACAGTAGATCATAAAATAGACTAATAAGGGCCCTCTAATCTCTATAAGTTGCAGTTTGGGGGAAAAAAACATTTTTTTTATCTCCTTTCCTTCTCTGTTCTGATTTTCCACTGCCCCCACTTATTTTTACCTCACAAGTCTGTATGTTCTTTTTCCATGTAGCAGCTGCTAAAGCATTTTCTAAACTGAGCAGACGAGGAGATGGGAGCACTGTAGGTCATGTTGAAGCAGAGGACTCTCCACCAGCTGCTGCTCTGGACCCACACCTCTGTCCTGTCACTGCACCACCGGCCTGCTGAATAATCACCCATGAGCAGGTGGGGGGTGGCTAAACTTGGAAATGTACCCATGTCCCCTTTTACACAGTGTTCTGAGTATTTTTAGTTTAAATATTTTTCAGCAGAAGCATCTTTTGTTCATAAGGAGACAGAATAGACCAAGGCACTGTCTGGTCCTTCCTCAAATGATAAAGATAGCTGTGCCAAGACATTTTAGGGGTATTTATTCATCAAGGCACATATGCACAATGGGAACTACAGAATATGTTGAATCGAAATGGTGAGCCTAGTTGCAAGAAGTTATAACAATATGCATGTTATTACGATGGCAAACCACTTAGTTCGTCTTTTCCCAATGTTTTGCTTGGGGTTGATGGTTTAAAGGTGTTATACAGAATTGACTCTTGTGAGCTTTAAGCCATGAACCTGTGTATCGTTCCTTTTTCAAACTAAAACCAAAAGAAAATGAAAAAACAACAATTTTCTTCATTATTTGTTTCCAAAACAGATAACAATTAGTTTTTTCAGTTTTCGATTTTATGTTTAAATGAATAATGGAAAAACGGATAACGGACTTAAAACTGCAATGCCGGACTGAACCAGGACTAAACCAGGTCTGCGACCAGATCGGAACCAGACCGGGATTGAGACCAGGACTGAGTCCAGGACCAGGACGGGGACTGAGTCCGGGACCAGGACCAGACCGGGACTGAGACCAGGACTGAGACTGGGACCAGACCAGGACTGAAAATGGTTTAGTCCTGGTTCAGTCCAGGCTCAGTCCGTATGCGGCGCAAAAGTCCGGCATCTCAGTTTAAGTCACAGAAACGGGAAACGGCCATTATCTGTTTTTTCCATTATTTATTTAAACACAAAATTGGAAACTGAAAAAAATGAATCATTGTCTGTATTTTCATTTTGGCTTTGGAGACAAATAATGAATAAAGTTCTTATTTTTGTTTTTTATCTTGAAAAACAAATGAATGAATGATACACACATTGCCATGTTGCAATGTTGTTACCTCATCAAAAACATACCTGGACTTGTGTTCAGATTCATTAAGACATGTTTGAGTAATCCTTAAATCTTAATCTACCTACATCTCCAACAGTCAAAATGCTCTATTCCAACTTGTGAGGTCATAGGGTGGTAGCTTTCAAGTTAACAGCTACTTTTTACCTTTAGTTTGGTAGAGACTGGGAATTCCAAGCCTGAATATGCAAGATTTGTGTGTTAAACATGTGTGAATGAAACAAAATGCTATTCCAGTTTGTTTCTGATGAGGAAACAACATTATTACATCAGAAAATGGTGTAATGTGGGGCCTTTAACCAATCAAATAAGTAGAATCTGAAGAAAAAAAAAAGTGATTACAGTGTCAATTTCACAACACAAAAATTTCAACACCCTGCCAATAGACTCCTGAATATTGAAAATGACGGGAATTTCTTCATGGAAAAAAAGCCCACGCTTTGAAACTCAGCGTTTTCTTTCCTTCGTTTGTCTGGGTAAATCAAGCCAAAAGTTTGAAATCCCGTTAAGCCTCTTTAAACTGTGGATTGAATGATTCAGCAGTGCACGAGTCAAAAGCTGCTCACTGCTTTGTAATCACTCATTTGAGCTTTTCTGTTCCTAATGCTCTCCCCTCCAAGAACACCTCCCTTTGGTTACATTAGAGTCTGCACTGTTACTTGGACTTTTTAACTTTGATCGTAAAATGTGAAATACTTGCTTTTATTGCAGTCCAAATGTGTGTGTGTTTCGATTCAGGCAGGCGATCATTTCAGCATCTTTGGGTTCATTGCAGGATACACCTAAGCATTGTTCTTACTCCCTTTTTATTATTAAAGCCTCCACATTACGCTATTTTTTTCCTATGTTATAATGTTGTTTCGTCATCACAAACATACCTGGAGTTGTGTTTTTGTTTCAAGTCACAAATCCTGCATATTTAGGCTGAGTTCTTCTTTTCCACCTTGTGATGTCATGTTGTAATATTTCTAGTGCTCCATTGAAAACTGAATGAATGTAGCTCGTCCATTATAGAAGCCTGGTGCTTTTTATTGAAGTGACCTGTAAAAGAAAAATTACATAAGTAAAAGGTAGAAGAGCATTTATTTAAGTAATTGTGGTTAAAATGAATTGTACTTACTGTAATAGCCTGGAGACCAACCTTAGCAGTATAAGAGGAACAGAGTCGAGTTGAGCCGATTTGTAGTGCAGATCCCAAGTGCATTTATTCTGTAACCAAGACAAACAAATGGAAAAAATATTTACAAAAGTACAAAAGTTAAAAAACAGGCATGGCAGTAACCTGCGCTCACACACAGCACCTTCTTATAGACAATTACAGGTGAGGATGGTTCCTTTTATAGGCCTCCTCCTCTAACTCGGTGAGCCCATCTTAAAGTGCAGGTAAGTTCAAACTATTTACATTCAATATTTAAAAAAATTAGATATCAAAAACCAGTGCAACAAATATTCAGTTAAATCTAAATAAAAAATAGCTCTTTATTAAATTAGAAGTGTGTAGTCTTCATTTTAAAATACTACATAGAAAAGTTAAAATCTCTGTGTACCCCTCATCCTAACAAAATTGTTGCCAGCCCTGGAACCTTCTTAAGGTGCTCCGGCGCCGGGGGGACTCTTTTGGCCAAAACACCTGAGACAGATGACACCAGTGGGTAAGTACAACTAATTTCAAACACCATTACTTAAATTTAAATGCACTTATTTTAGTTATTTAATTTTCTTTTACAGGTCTATTTACTACAAAGGCACTTTAATCATTTATCAGTAAACATTTTAAAACTTTGCTTGTTTGTTCCTTATTACTCTTAGTGTAATGGACTAGCTACATTACACTTACCCTTGTTGTCTTCCTCAGGTGTTCCAGCTAAAAGTCCCCGGGGAGCCAGAACACCTTAATCACACTGTTTAATGAAAGGTCCACTACCCGCTTCTCTCCATGGAGCTGTTATTGCTTTGCAGTAATTATTCTACTGTGAGTGGAGTCGACTTTCCACAGATCTGACATGTAACTTGGTCTGGTGCCATCATCTGCTTGTCTCCGTGAATCTAGATAAATTTAATGTCATATGGTGGGGCATTTCAGACAAAGCAACATCTCCATGACAACAAGCAAGTGGCAAACCCTCCACTAGAAAAGCAAGTGCCACTTTCACAATCAACTCATTTTTCCATCATGTGGTTTTGGTCCAACAGAACCCGCTGCCAGCTACAGGCTCTGTACTCTCATAAAATGCATTAGATCTTTATTTGGCAGAGTAATGCGTAACCGTCTATATGTGGATACTGGTATTATTTTGAAAGAACAGAACTATAAAAAATATTATTGAATGCAGCATACAAACAACAGCAGCCCTGTAAATCAATGGATGAGTCATAAACCATAAAATGACCTCATCTCTCTCCGCTCTGGACCACGAGGATGACTGAAAGCAGCGCACTGGACTTTCTCTGTCAAACTGGTCCTCTGTAGATTTACTGCAGTCAGTGGTTGAACATAACAAAGAAAAAATGGTAAAGTACTGTACTTAAGTAAAGTACAGATACCTAAAATGTATACTTAAGTACATTTAGTGGATTCTTTTCACTTTTACTTCACTACATTTGAGAGCAGGTATTTGTACTTTCTACTCTACGAGGTTTTTAACTGAAGTATTTTTATTATTGTGTGAGACCTGCTGAAAAGGCTGAGGGGTTTATTTTTTACACATTTGTAGTTTGAGCAAACAAAATTATACTAATAAAAACAGCTAAGAAAATTCTATTGTTTTGGCTGAATAAAATTAATCAAAAATCACTACATTTGAAGATTTACAAGACCTGAAAATCTTTTATAAGACCTCAAAAACTTTTTACGCTTCAAGCACATTTTTAAATTTAAATAGTTTTACTTATTGTTTTCATGTGATATTTTTACTTGAGTGTTTCTTTGCTCTGGTATCTGTACATTTACTTAAGTAACGAAATGTAATATTTCTTGCACCACTGACTGTAGCTCTGACAGAGTGAATAATGAGGAATCAGAGAGGAAATTGGCAGCAGTTTGTAACACGACCTCTGTTAGCGTGGCACTGTAACAGCGCTGAGTGGACGTGCAGAACCACAAATACGCCTGATGATGTAGGAGGTATTTTTGTTGGATGTATGTTTATTATTGTTTTTGAACACAGGAAAGGGAGAGATCCAAGCGTGATTCAGACGTGTCCCGGTGACTCACTGTATGTAATGAGCTGTCTGTCAAAACAAAACTCTTCTGTTTGAGAGACTCTGATCCTGTCCTCCAAAGACTATTGTCCAAGATACCAAATTAGTAAACCCACATTCCAAAAAATCAAGTACTGATTGTGAGATTATGTTATTAATATTACTTTATTATTATTATTATTTATTTAAAGGTGTATTGCAGGGGTCACCAGACATTTTTCTCTGGGGGTCACATTATGGCTCCTGACTGTGATGGGGGCCGGGGTCGGGTCGGCCGTATAACAGAATTGAATGACCCTGACGAGAAAGATTATATAATTATACTAAACCGCCACACTTTCTTTAGATATCAGACAAACTGCACGCTCCTTACACTGAACAAAAAAAGAATTGGTCGACCACTGTTCTTTGAAAACTCTGCACTCTATGTCAGCTTTGTACTTTAACACGCGTCATTGTGCTGTCCTTAACTTCACCACAGAACTCTGTTTTTAACTGCACTATGGAACTCTGCAGGTGCGTTCACTGTCACTGTTTGATCTTGAGCTTTTTTCAGGTGACAAAAATGGAAATGTAAATACGTTAATATAATTATTTAAATATAAATACTTCATATGAATATCATTTTTATTTGAAAAAAAACCCCAATAAAATACAAAACGCAGACGTGTTATTATTTGCCAAAAAGTAATTTAAAAAAATTGTCCATGACACTTTTGAGGATTGCCTCATAGGGCCAGTTCAAGTGATGGGGGGCAGAGGAGCTGGGGGGCCAGTCAAAGGGGCGTGGTGGGCCGAAGTCAGCCCTCGGGCCTTAGTTTGATGACCCCGGTGTACTGTGTAACTTTTGTGGTGGAGGGTCCGTCAAAAGCTTTTCTCGGTGGAAATGTTAATAGTTTGTCTACTTTTCTATTTTCATGGAGACCAGATCAAGTGACAGGTCAGATCTGTGGAGAGGCAGTCAGGCTCCCAGTCAGAATGCCTTTTTTTCTAGATATTTTTGAGCTATAAAACTACCAGTATCATACTGTGGAACATTCCACTTAGAGCAATGACAGATCCATAAAAGGTGATAGGCAAAAGTTACATTATGCACCTTTTAATTTATAATTCTAGGCACTATTACTTTTTATATTATTATGAAAACATTTTTTGTGAGTGTTATGGATGTTGTGGGGGAGGGCCAAAGGGTTGCTGAAAAAAAAAAGAAAGTGAAAGTGGGCAATTTGCAATACATAAAATCTTAAAATATAAAATTTTACAAAGTACCAGAGGCCCAGATCTACAGCACCAGACAAGACTCTGAGACAATCCAGCACATAACTGCAGGGTGGAGTGACATAACCAAGTGTCGAGTGTACGGAAAAATCTGTACAGAGAAGCCAAGGTCAAAGTGGGAAACACCTCCAAAGATGGTGGAGAACGGTGGAGAACAAGCCAAGATCCTGTGGGAGCTCCAAGTACAGACTGACAGAATGGTAACAGCAAACCAACCAGACAGTGTGGCGGTGGACAAACAGCGAAGGAAAGCCGTTGTGGTTGTGGATGTTCACGTGCGCACCAAAATAGATTATTATCTGATTTCTAAAGCTCAAAAATGATTTACGCAGAATTGAGTCTTGTGAGCTTTTCGTCATGTTATAATGTTGTTACCTCCTCAAAGAAAGACCTGGAGTTGTGTTTTGTTTCGAGTGTTTTCTGTCTGAGAGAAGAACTCAGCCTAAATATGCAGGATTTGTATGTTTAACATGTGCGAAGGATAATAATAATAAAATAAGTTATTGTTGTAATTATTGTAATGAATAGTAGAGACAACAGTAAGTATTATGGTTATTGTTGTTGTAATAGTTATAATAATAGATTTGAGATTGTATTAAATAGTAAAAGATGATGAAAGGAAATGATGGTGGTGAAAATAATGTTAGTTTAAGTATAGAGACTAAAAATGTTTATTTTAAAATGGGAGAAAAAAAACAAAACAGGAAATGCCTTTAAAATGATGCTTTAAGATTGTAATAAAT